AAGCAAGTTTTTCACCTCTTCTGCAACTACCTTGGTATGGTGTAGCGCCGATCTCCTCGATCTCTGAATATGACCGACTTTGCCTCGGGAAAAATATTGAGGTGATGGCAAATAAAACTCGGATCGATGCCGGGCATGTCGTAAGGCGACCATGCGAAGACTTCAATATTTACCATAAAAAATTCCACCATCTCAGTCCTTTCTTGGGCGGTAAGGCTTGATCCGAGCAAGAAGAACTTGTTCGGGCTCTCCGTGTCAACCCGCACTTCCACCAACTCTTCTACGGCTTTGTCCTCAGCCTTGGTGCCCACGTCGTCAAGGACTCCCCGGTCTTCCGGTCCTTCAATCATTTGAACAAAGCCTTTGGCAGCTCGGCTCCCGTTCACTGCCACGAAGCATTGCTTCGACATGACCTGATCGCCCCAAACTTCCTCAATTGCCTCCATAGCCGAGGGAAATCTCATCACCTGATGGTGGGTCGACGCTACGGCTTGCATAGCGTGAAGCCATCCCCTTCCAAGGATCAGGTTATATGTAGACGGCACTTGTAATACCCAGAACTCCACTTGCTTGACCACGGATCCCGCTTTGACCGGCAGAATAATTTTTCCCAAAGGCCACTCCGGTTGCGAGTTGAAACCAACCAGTGGCGAAGTTGCCGAAGCCAAGTCTGTATCTCGGAGTTTGAGTTGTTTGAACGCGTCGTAATACATGATCTCGACCGAGCTTCCCTGGTCGATCAAGATGCGCTTGACTTCGAATTCCTTGACGCGGAGTATGACCACTAAGGCATCTTTGTGCGGCGTCTGAATGCGATCTAAGTCCCTTGTAGAGAAACTGACCACGTCTTTCTCTTCGGTCTTCCCCCTCTTGATCGCGGGCTGGACCGACAAAACTTCCATCATGTGTTCTGCCTTCTTGATCATACCTTGGAGCTCGCATACACGTGCCAGCTCCACTATGCCGTAGATGACATTAACAACTCCTTGTGGGGGCGCCTCCAGGTCATCCGATCCATGCAGGTCAACCGGGGCTTGATGTGCGGCCTTCACACCCCCATCAATGTAAAGGTCCAAGTGTCCGGCTGCGACTAGCTCCTCCAAGTGTTGCTTCAGAGGCAAATAGTCCCCTATCCAGTGTCCGCGCTCCCGGTGGAATGTACAGCGATACCGCGAATTGAAACCTTTTTGCACATCGCCTAACTTAACAGGAAACTGGACGTAATCCTCGTCACAAATTTCACTAAGTATGCGATAGATTGGAATCTTAAAGACCGTGGTGATGCCCGTCCGAGCTTTCAACCTTCTGTTTGCATCAGCTACGTCGTCGCAGGGGTATTCATCTCGGTCATTCTGCCGACCCCTACCCCGGTTTCGACGATTTGAACCTCGGTCAAATTCCTCAGCGCGATCATTTGAACGGTTGGTCTCCTGTCCGACCGCGTGCACCTTGCCAGCCGACCTCTTGTCTGTTGTTACCGGAGTTGCCTTCGCGGTAGATGCTGCCGCATCATCTTCTACTCGGATGTGCTCGTTGATGCGCTGCATTAGTTGGCCTATGGATGTCGGCTGGTGCATGGTAAGCGAGTCCTGCAGTCTATGTCCGACCGGGAGACCACGCTTATGTTGTGTGATTGCCAGGTTGACTGGGCAATCCAAGATCTCATTGAAGGTTTCCCAGTATCTGGAGTTGTATGCCTTGAGTGTGTCCCTCGGCTCCATCTTGACACTAAGAAGGTGGTCAACTTCCTTTGGCGTTCTGGTGTTGGTTTTGAAACGCGTCACAAAGGCTTCCGCCAACTGCTGCCACCTTTCGATGCTCCCCTCCGGCAACCTCTCAAACCATTTCAAGCCCAACTCGCCCAAGCTTGACGGGAAGATAAGGCACATAAGAGCATCATTCCGCTTATGTCCTGCCATGACCTGTTGGAAGTGGCTTACATGCATGTATGGATCGGTTTTTCCGTCGTAGAGCGTGAACTTTGGCTGGTGGAAGCCTGCGGGAAGCGGCTTTGTTTCTATCCCCAGGGAGAAGGGTGTGGCACTCAGCCTCGCCAGATCTGTGTCTAGAAAGAGGGGCACAGCTGGGCGGGGTGGTGGCATTACGACTTCTTCACTGGCATGACCCCCGTAAGATAGCTGCTGAAGCGCGGGCACCCGCTGAGTCTCTTGCCGGCGAGCCCGCTCCTTCAAGATTGCCCGCAAGTCCTCTGAGCAAGCGGAATAGGAATACCTCGACGTCGTCGCCGGACGTGAGGGCTGATATGTACTGTCTTGCGCGCTAGATCTCTTTTCCGGCGCGTCGGATTCTCCAACCCTGTAGCTTCTGGTGATAGAAAGAGACGGAGTGTGCCACTGGCCCTGACTGCCTGAATGGCGGGGTTGGGTGCGCTCACTGTGGTCTCCCACTCCAGCTACACCCTTCCCTTTGACATGCCGCTTAAGACCCTCCATCTTCGCCGCCATTCTCCGGATGACGGCGTCTTGGTCCCTTAGCTTGTGTTCCAGACGTCTGGCGTGCGATTCTCTCCGCCGCCGGTGACCGTCTGGACTCCGAGAATAACCAAAGCTTCTTCCGCGCTTATGTCGCGCGTCTCTTGAATGTCCTCTTGGAGAAGTCTCCAGGTCCGCCATCGGAGGAATGGCGGGGTGTCCTCTCTGTCTGGCTGACTCCGGGGTAACTCCGTCGATGGCGGACAACGGAATCTCGTTGTTGTTCGTTATGGACGGCGATCAGATGAGCTGGGAAGACAAGGTTTTGTCTATCAAGTTCCCACAGACGGCGCCAATTGTACGGGGAGCAAATATTCCGGCGAGCCCGTACTCCTTTCTTCCAAGCTCCCTGTCTATCCGATCGACCTGCGAACACAACGGCGATGAGCTACCCGGCGGTGTGTTGCCGGAAAACCCCTCCGACGATCAAGTTAGCACACACTCAGGGATAGATAGAGAGAGGAGAGAGTTGAATGTCTAAGTGTATCTCACCAAATAATCCTCTGTGCAGCATGGGGGGCGCAGACACGCTTATATACCTTCTGCGCCCCAAATCTACTCTCATTAGTCTTTCGACATGTGGTGCTGCTATCACATCTGTTAGCATAAATCCAGCAATCACCACCTAACCAAACTGTCAAGATATCTTGGCGGAGCCCGGCAGACCGGCGGAATCACCTCGGCCTCACACGGCTGTGCTGCGCCGCATGCCCGAATGCTCACTAGCCGAGCTCCATACCGACCGAGCCGAGCTCGAAATAGGTCACGTGGGTAAAACAAAGGCCTTCCTGCCGAGCTAAAGGCGCGAGCCTTCCTGCCGAGCAATGCAAGTAGCACGGTTCCCACCTGTGCAAGTTCAAATAGCTCAGTCTTGGGCTTTAGCCGAGCAGCCCCATCTCCGTGCAAGCCCAAAGCTATCCTGGCCCAAACGCGCTCGGCCTTCAGCAGCCCGGCCCTTACCATGGCCCATTTTTAGCTCATAAAATCTCCCTCTCACTAACAAAACTATCCTAATTTTTTTTATTAAACTTTCATCTAAATTTTTAATTTTTTATTTCTCTTATCCCATATTTCTTATTTTATCAAATTGATATTTAAAAAAAAAAAAATTCTAATACATGTCTTTTTAATTTTTTATCAAATTCAAATTTAAAGATGAATTTTGAATACTTTCGCTCAACAAAAAGAATGGAAAAATGTTCTAATCGAGATAACGGTAACATCACTTTGGTCCGATAATACTCACTTTAGGGTTGGTTTAGGAAGTGGATTGGCTTTTTGACCTTTTGACTTTTTTGGTTATTTTAGCATGGGCTAAAAAGCTTAGGGAAGAATTTTTTGGCCTTTTGGCTTTTTTGATTTTTTTTGTGAAAGAAAAGTGTAATGATTATGGATTTGATGTGATATTTTATTTTTTGTAGCTAAAATAGCCAAAAAAGCCTACTTTAGCTCTTCCCAAACAGTTCTAATTGCTAATCACTCGCATTTCATGAATAAATGCTGAAAATGCCGTACAAATGGACTCGAACCCTATACAGATCCGACCCAATAAAATTATATAATAAATAAAAATAAAAATAAAAACGAACACATTACATTTCCCGTTTTGATCAATAAACTAATTATTTCACAATCTAGGGTTGTTTAGAGTGTCCTAAATAAGTGTATTTTTCATCTTTTTGAACTAAAAAATTGAGGAAAAAAATATAGATGTTGGGGTTAACTTTTTGACTTTTTACGAAAAATTGTATAAATAAGTGCATAGGAGAAGTTAGTGATTAACCGTACAGGTTGGACAATGCAGTCAGCTGGTTAGGAGATGGGAAAATATTGCCTCTTTTTTGAGCTTTAATTGGACGGTATTGTTCGGCCCGTGGGGGCTCACCACGAGTCCCGTTCTGCTAATCGGAACTGTTTAATGTGTAATACTCATCTAGTACTATACGCCTATAAAAAATCACGTTAATTGAATATCGATAGCTATCTGATCATGTTAGTTTTTTTTTTTCAACTGTTAACTATAATACCATTCATTTTTTATACAAAATTGATTTGATCATGTAGTTAGCGATATCCGATAGACATAAATTTTTTACAAGCATATAATATTAAACGATTTCTACACATACCTGTGATAGACCCCCACAGACCTAACATTACCATCCAACTTAATGAATATATATATGTCTTTACTTTGACGTCAATACCTAAAATGACGTGAAATTAATTTATATTTTAATATTATGTATATTAATTTTTTATATTTTTTTTTTATAAATAGCAATAATTTTTTAACTTTTTTGATAACTTTTTGACTTTTCTAAAGATCCCAAACCAGGCCTTAGTCCTTAAATTTTGAAGTTTAGGTTTTCTACACCCGAACATATATTCCTCTTTACTCTAGGAGCACATTTAAATCCTCAAAAATCAGTTTAGAATTAGATCAACCAAATTTCCCCACAACCATCAATAATTAAAAAAAATAGTCAAGAAAATAAATCTGGGAAATCATAACCAAGACCAGAGGTGAAAAATATTATTCTTCTGCACTCAGATTTCAACTTGTACATCCAAATTGCAAGCTGCTACAAGCCGGTACACGGACAAGCTAACCTCACCAGATTCTTCCAAGCATACTAAAATTACAAAAAACAAAGAACTCCCCCCTTCTTTGCATTTTGTTACCCACCCAAATTGAAGTTGGCTTGGTTCTTTTACCTTTGTCCCCCACAAGCACACCTTCTACAATAGTTTAGTAACCGTATCCTGATACAGACAACAAGGCGGCAATTATTTTAATCAAACTCATTTCAAAGAGAAGCTAAGACACAAATTGAAGGTAAAAACAATGCATGTCCAACTTGTTTTAAGTCAACAGCTACTACCTGAATTGTCCATAGGGTTCCCGGCAGCAGCCATTGGCTCAGGCTCTTTGATCTCAACAACCACACAATCTGACATCAAGAAAGTTTTAGCAACCGAAGCTGCATGCTCCAAGCAACATCTGACCACCTGAATCAGTCAGCACAAAACAACAAAATTTTTCTTTTAGTTCACCTGGCCTGCTAACTTCACAAAAAGCATGAGCTAGAGTAGTTTGAAAAAGTAATTACCAAAATAGTGGTCCAAAAATAATATATCTAACCCTATCCAACAACAACACGTACAGACTATGGATGAACCAACTCAACCAACCTGAATGTCAAGCTATATATATGTAGAAGCCACTGCACTCCTCATAATACGAAGATGTGAATGAAATGGTTATATGATAAGACTGATCCACTAATTGAATCATGTCTGGAGCATGTGCCAGTGCTTTAATATAATTGAATGTCCTCTTGGAGAAGTCTCCAGGTCCGCCATCGGAGGAATGGCGGGGTGTCCTCTCTGTCTGGCTGACTCCGGGGTAACTCCGTTGATGGCGGACAACGGAATCTCGTTGTTATTCGTTATGGACGGCGATCAGATGAGCTGGGAAGACAAGGTTTTGTCTATCAAGTTCCCACAGACGGCGCCAATTGTACAGGGAGCAAATATTCCGGCGAGCCCGTACTCCTTTCTTCCAAGCTCCCTATCTATCCGATCGACCTGCGAACACAACGGCGATGAGCTACTCGACGGTGTGTGGCCGGAAAACCCCTCCGACGATCAAGTTAGCACACACTCAGGGATAGATAGAGAGAGGAGAGAGTTGAATGTCTAAGTGTATCTCACCAAATAATCCTCTGTGAAGCATGGGGGGCGCAGACACGCTTATATACCTTCTGCGTCCCAAATCTACTCTCATTAGTCTTTCGACACGTGGTGCTGCTATCCCATCTGTCAGCACAAATCCAGCAATCACCACCTAACCAAACTGTCAGGATATCTTGGCGGAGCCCGGCAGACCGGCGGAATCACCTCGGCCTCACACGGCTGTGCTGCGCCGCATGCCCGAATGCTCACTAGCCGAGCTCCATACCGACCGAGCCGAGCTCGAAATAGGTCACGTGGGTAAAACAAAGGCCTTCCTGCCGAGCTAAAGGCGCGAGCCTTCCTGCCGAGCAATGCAAGTAGCACGGTTCCCACCTGTGCAAGTTCAAATAGCTCAGTCTTGGGCTTTAGCTGAGCAGCCCCATCTCCGTGCAAGCCCAAAGCTATCCTGGCCCAAACGCGCTCGGCCTTCAGCAGCCCGGCCCTTACCATGGCCCATTTCCAGCTCATAAAATCTCCCTCTCACTAACAAAACTATCCTAATTTTTTTTATTAAACTTTCATCTAAATTTTTAATTTTTTATTTCTCTTATCCCATATTTCTTATGTTATCAAATTGATATTTAAAAAAAAAAAAAAAAATTCTAATACATGTCTTTTTAATTTTTTATCAAATTCAAATTTAAAGATGAATTTTGAATACTTTCGATCAAAAAAAAGAATGGAAAAATGTTCTAATCGAGATAACGGTAACATCACTTTGGTCCGATAATACTCACTTTAGGGTTGGTTTAGGAAATGGATTGGCTTTTTGACTTTTTGACTTTTTTTGTTATTTTAGCATGGGCTAAAAAGCTTAGGGAAGAATTTTTTGGCCTTTTGACTTTTTTGGTTTTTTTTGTGAAAGAAAAGTTTAATGACTATGAATTTGATGTGATATTTTGTTTTTTGTGGCTAAAATAGCCAAAAAAGCCTACTTTAGCTCTTCCCAAACAGTTCTAATTGCTAATCACTCGCATTTCATGAATAAATGCTGAAAATGCCGTACAAATGGACTCGAACCCTATACAGATCCGACCCAATAAAATTATGTAATAAATAAAAATAAAAATAAAAACGAACACATTACATTTCCCGTTTTGATCAATAAACTAATTATTTCACAATCTAGGGTTGTTTAGGGTGTCCTAAATAAGTGTATTTTTCATCTTTTTGAACTAAAAAATTGAGGAAAAAAATATAGATGTTGCGGTTAACTTTTTGACTTTTTACGAAAAATTGTATAAATAAGTGCATATGAGAAGTTAGTGATTAGCCGTACAGGTTGGACAGTGCAATCGGCTGGTTAAGAGATGGGAAAATATTGCCTCTTTTTTGAGCTTTAATTGGACGGTATTGTTCGGCCCGTGGGGGCTCACCACGAGTCCCGTTCTGCTAATCAGAACCGTTTAATGTGTAAAACTCATCTAGTACTATACGCCTATAAAAAACCACGTTGATTGAATATCGATAGCTATCTGATCATGTTAATTTTTTTTTGTCAACTGTTAACTATAATACCATTCATTTTTTATACAAAATTGATTTGATCATGTAGTTAGCGATATCCGATAGACATAAATTTTTTACAAGCATATAATATTAAACGATTTCTACACAGACCTGTGATAGACCCCCACAGACCTAACATTACCATCCAACTTAATGAATATATATATATGCATTTACTTTGACGTCAATACCTAAAATGACGTGAAATTAATTTATATTTTAATATTATGTATATTAATTTTTTATATTTTTTTTATAAATAGTGATAATTTTTTAACTTTTTTGATAACTTTTGACTTTTCTAAAGATCCCAAACCAGGCCTTAGTCCTTAAATTTTGAAGTTTAGGTTTTCTGCACCCGAACATATATTCCTCTTTACTCTAGGAGCACATTTAAATCCTCAAAAATCAGTTTAGAATTGGATCAACCAAATTTCCCCACAACCATCAATAATTAAAAAAAATAGTCAAGAAAATAAATCTGAGAAATCATAACCAAGACCAGAGGTGAAAAATATTATTCTTCTGCACTCAGATTTCAACTTGTACATCCAAATTGCAAGCTGCTACAAGCCGGTACACGGACAAGCTAACCTCACCAGATTCTTCCAAGCATACTAAAATTACAAAAAACAAAGAACTCCCCCCTTCTTTGCATTTTGTTACCCACCCAAATTGAAGTTGGCTTGGTTCTTTTACCTTTGTCCCCCACAAGCACACCTTCTACAATAGTTTAGTAACCGTATCCTGATACAGACAACAAGGCGGCAATTATTTTAATCAAACTCATTTCAAAGAGAAGCTAAGACACAAATTGAAGGTAAAAACAATGCATGTCCAACTTGTTTTAAGTCAACAGCTACTACCTGAATTGTCCATAGGGTTCCCGGCAGCAGCCATTGGCTCAGGCTCTTTGATCTCAACAACCACACAATCTGACATCAAGAAAGTTTTAGCAACCGAAGCTGCATGCTCCAAGCAACATCTGACCACCTGAATCAGTCAGCACAAAACAACAAAATTTTTCTTTTAGTTCACCTGGCCTGCTAACTTCACAAAAAGCATGAGCTAGAGTAGTTTGAAAAAGTAATTACCAAAATAGTGGTCCAAAAATAATATATCTAACCCTATCCGACAACAACACGTACAGACTATGGATGAACCAACTCAACCAACCTGAATGTCAAGCTATATATATGTAGAAGCCACTGCACTCCTCATAATACGAAGATGTGAATGAAATGGTTATATGATAAGACTGATCCACTAATTGAATCATGTCTGGAGCATGTGCCAGTGCTTTAATATAACAACATAATTCAAAAACCTCGGGACCATCTAAGATTGGGAATACAACTTGATTCCAAATTTCCACTGAACTACTTAAGTTAGTGCAATATAAACATACTTAAATGCACAAAACATATTTTCTGCTAAAGACAAATACGTCCACCAGTTTGCTGGCAATGATCCAAACAAGCTATGCCTCGAAGAAAAACCCCAACAAACACCGAGTTCCAGTCTTTGGAGGAAGCAAATACCAATCTATTCTTAGAGGTATTCCATATTCCAACCATTTGGCAAACACTAAGTTGCCTTCAGACCTCCAAGTTTATCAACCAATTCCATGTCCTGCCTTAAGATACTAACTATATGCAACCAAAAAAATTATTGTTTGCCATATTTCACCTTGGTTGGATCAATTATTCCAGCAGCCATCAAATCCTCATAGTTTCCAGTTGCAGCATTGTATCCAAATTTTGGGTTGTCACTGGAGAGCACCTGAAGAAAAAAATCACATAAAATGACTAATTGAACATAAGACTTGACATCTTAATGACATAATGATATAATTAAATACCTTCTCACTGACAACACTTCCATTCACGCCAGCATTCTTGGCAATTAACTTCAGGGGGTAACTCAAAGCTCTCTTAACTATATCTGCTCCAACCTGCAAAATGCTCAAGTTTAATTAGCAACATGATAACCAAAGTTATTATCAATCCTTCTTGCTCAATACAAAATGCTCCAATGATTCCCAGCAGCAGTGGATACCTAGACCCTTCTCCCACTCTACAGCATCAAATGATGGCCATGATAGTATCCTAGGACGCCAAATGATGGCCATGACAGAATTGAGTAATCCTAGCTAACGGGGTGAGTGCAAAGAGGAGACATAGGCAGACCAAGGGTTGGGCCATGCTACTACCACCACGTGGGAGTGACTGACCAAAGGCACACTAGTTAAGAATTGCTCCCAATTGCTTCTCAACATATCTTATAGGAATGAAACATGAAGGCCATGGTCAAACAAGAGCTTGTTTGGGTGAGCCAAAGGGCACCGAGACATGACAATACCGAGCAGCTCTACGACTTGGGCTCTTCATACTTCGACTCATTCACTTTGTGCTTTGGCTCGCAACTAGGGCACCAAACATGCTAGTGGACCAAGCAGCCACACTTGGTGGTCTATATATCCCAACTTAGGTTGGCATATAACCCCCAATTAGGCCACTTGGGAACATTATGGCGCCTCATAAGGACTGCCACGGTGAGATGGCGACACCAAGGTAGCAGTGACATGGCGTCCATACCACAGGTCTCGCTACATAGCAAAGGCATCACAAACTTAATTATAAGACTATATTTGACCAGTAGATATATCCAAAGCAAATTACAACATAAAATCACCTTTTCCTCATCATTATCAAGGCTCTCCTTAATGCTATCAACTTTTGAAGCAAGCCTCAACAGAGTGCATCCACCACCAACAACAATACCTTCTTCAACAGCAGCCTGAAAATCAATACCAATGTCTATGTTAGAAGCTGTTGTCGTTTTACCTAAAAAACTGAGAAACTACATATATGAATTGAAATCTATGGCCTCGTGAAGGAACTTGCCTTTGTTGCATTAAGAGCATCTTCTACTCTCAATTTCTTCTCTTTGAGCTCTGTCTCAGTTTGTGCTCCAACCTTCAAAATTTAATAGGAAATCAGTACACATCACAAAACAAAAATTTATTTCATAAACCACCAAACTGAACTGATCAAGATCAAATGATGAAAACTGAAAGGTTACCTGAATGACAGCAACACCTCCAGACAGTTTTGCTATTCTTTCATTAAGTTTTTCCTTTTCATAATCTTGCTCTGCAACCTGCTTAAAGCAACCACACACAGTCAGCAGCATTGACAAATATGCATGCATACAGACATACACACATGGAGAGAGAATCCAACCTCTATGAGGTTTCTAATCTGGGAAACTCGTTTATTTACTGCTTCCTGAGTGCTCCCATCGCCAACAATTGTCGTCGCGTCCTTGGTGAGCACAACCTTAGCAGCATGACCCAGGACTTCTTTATCTGCTTTGTCTAAGGTAAGCCCAACCTCCTCTCTGATAACAGTCCCTGTATATCAAGAAGAAAAAAACCACTTTAACATGAAGAAGAAACAAGCAGGCAACCCCAAGAACACTCCTATTTACAGTTATGAAGAAAAGAAACTTCAGAGGATGCAGTGGAAGTAGAGGAAAATGGAGATTGAGCAAATATTCAAGTTATATATGATAGAAAAAAGAATGAACTCTGACCTCCAGTCAGAATCGCAATGTCATCAAGGTACTGGCTCTTTCTTTCTCCAAATCCAGGAGCTTTTAGAGCAGCAATCTTCAGTGCTCCTCTAAGCTTGTTTACAACAAGAGTTGCCAACGCTTCTTGCTCAATATCTTCTGCAACTATTACAATTGGGTATCCACCTCTGATAGCATCTTCCAGGACGTTAATAAGATCCCTTGCATTTGTTATTTTCTTGTCAACCAGTAGCAACTACATGAACATCAAAAGAATAATTAAACCAAAAAAACAAAAGAACATAATATATTAGATGGAAATGCCTTTCTTTACAACTTCAAGATATATACCCAACATCCCTACCTTGCAGTTCTCAAATTCGACTGCCATTTTCTCACTATCTGTGACAAAGTAAGGTGAAATATATCCGCGATCGAATTGCATCCCTTCGACAACATAAAGACTGTTCTCGGCACTTTTACCCTCTTCAAGGGTCACCACACCCTTCCGACCCACTTTACTCATGGCTTCAGCTATCATATTTCCTACTTCATAGTTGTTTCCAGCACTAACTGCAGCAACATCTGCTAGTTCACTGTCTTCTACCTACAATTTCATATTGCACTACATAAGTATGAGACTACTAGGAGAAATTGGGTCCAGATTTTAAACTTTTTAAATAAGCCTATACCAAAAAATTATGAATATTCACAGCAGCATTTATAATTTCAATCTCAAGCCTTAATTATTAAACCCATTTGTGAAAGCACTTTTCATTACCTCTTTAGACATCAACTTAAGCTCTCCAACCAAAGCTTTTGCTGTCTTCTCAATACCTCTGGTAATCAGAACAGGGTTCGCACCAGCTGCTACCACCTGAAAAAGTAATACCACTTCTTAATAAGTTTGATAATGCCAGAATCACTCGTCAGCGTCCTCTTTGGAATTCAAAGAAAGATATACAGCATGAAATTTCCATGCACACCTTGACACCCTCAGCAATAAGACCTTGTGCAAGAACAACAGATGTTGTCGTCCCATCTCCAGCCAAGTCATTGGTCTTGGCAGCCGCTTGTCTGACCAATTTAGCACCAATATTCTCTACTGGATCTTCCAACTCAACCTAGAAAAAAAATGAAGTATTTACTGTCCATTAGGGCCTCCAATATCAAATATTTACAGGAAATTATTATTAAACTCAGTTATAGAAAATCAGACACTCAGTTATAGAAAATCAGACAAAATTCAGATTGAACAAATTATTTGAGCCATTAAATAATTGCAAAATTCAATGAGGACAATGAAGTACATAAACCATGGCCATGAAGGTTTCCGCTGTTTATTGGCTTCATAACGTATAAAAAACCTATCCTCTGAACTCTCAAACAATTCAAGGCTTCTAAAATACTTGTTTCCAAAATGAGCATAGTGAGATCAAGGGAATACTTCAAGCCATGGGTTATTCATAACAATAGAAATCTAATTACTACCATTAATTGCAACAAAGTATACCTCTTTGGCCACAGTCACCCCATCATTAACAATTTTTGGGGAGCCATATTTACTCTCTAGAACAACATTCCTGCCCTTGGGACCAAGAGTAACCCCAACAAGATCCGCAAGCTTGTTCACACCACTCTGACACCAAAACAAGACAAAAGCATTGTTAAAGATAGCATGCGCATTATTAAACTTCATTATAATATGAAACCTCAACTCATGAAGAGACTCACTTGCAGCTTCTTAATAGCTGACCCATCCTTGTTGAAATACAGATCCTTCGCCATGGCATTTATTCTGGGTGAAGGTGTTCTACGTAGAGCAACATTTTGTCTCCTACTAAACGAGCTCGAAGATATGGAACTGAAAGATGATAACTTGTCCAAAGAAGTAGTAAGTTTCTTATCTGTCACACGAGCACTTGGCGCAGCCAAGGAGCCAACTGAAGACATGCCAGCCAAAGTTGATGCCATTTATTCTTTAAAATCTGATTGAAAAATTCAACATTAATCTTTCCCCAGTGTTACTTATCAAAACAAAACAAAAAAAAAACATTTAAAAATCCTTCTGTAGAGAAAGCAATCAACTTCTATTTCAAATGATGAATCATTATCCAGAACAAATAATAAATATCAATTACACTATAAATACAAAAAATTCTCTTTAGCAGTGTAGTAAAAAAATTCCAGAATGAAGCTCCTACCCTACTCAACAATAGCAATCTATCTACATCTTAAATTATTGCCAATCTCACAAAAAAAGGTTGCCAAAATATTAGTTTCAGCAATTAAACAGATAAATAGTATTGAAATAGCTGTCTTCACTACACAGTTACATAAAAAGCCATATCTATCTATATATTTATAGAATTCAAAGAAGTGAAATCAAATTCTTTCACAACAAAAAGTATCACTCTAAAGCACACAATTGACTCTATCTATTTCCATTTCTTTACTTCTAGTTCTAGAGAGAGATTTTTCTTAGCAAACAAACAAAAAAACAAAATATCACATTATAGGAACGCTAATTGAAGAACAGAGAGCTTTACCTAGAAGAATAGGAGGGTACGCGAATCACAGAAACAGTGACGGGCGGCAGCTGCTAACATGAACTGAGAATGAAAGGCTAGGGTGGGTGGGGGTTGAGCGAGATTAGGTTTATAGAAGGGAGATGAATTGACGGTCCCTTTTGCTCTTGAAGCTTCCAGTTCATCTTAGCCGTTGGATTGGATCATATTGACGTTTTGTTTGTCGCACCCGGAGCACTCTAGAACTTTTGTTTTGTTTTCTTATTTTTATTTTTATTTTTAAATTGCGTAGAACAATTGCAAATAAAATATGAGAATTTTTTTTTAAAGTCCCAAATGATTGTAATTTAGAATATAAAAGATATTAAAAAAAAGAATGATGTTTCAGGTCCATCAACTAATAACGTGTGCTTTTTATTTACTTCTTAGATCAAAATACCTTTCACAATCAACGAGAAACTTGAACTACATTCCGACATTTGATCAAGTCCACACTTCACATTCAACCATCTTTACGAGCAAGAGAAGAGCAGAATTAGGGTTTTCGAATCATCTTTACTATCGACATTAGGGTTTCATCATTTTCTAAGAAAATTTTTTCCATTTCTTCCTCACAAATTTCTCTGACTCGTTTTCACTGTTCATCATCATCACAGTGTATCTTCATCTTAGGACATATCTGTCATGACCCAAACCCGCTCCTAAAAGTTTGGTCCATGACCAGCTTGTACTTAGGCTTCAAAACAAAATTTCAAAATAATATTTATTTAATTACGGGGCCTTAAGCGAAAGCAGACAAATTACAAAACGTCCATTGAGTGGTGCTTATATGTCAGGATTTTAAACATACACAATTTATACATATCTACATAACACTTGTCCACGTTATAAGTATATACAAGGAATTAGCAACCAAAAGTTTACATATTACTCAAGGGTTTAACAAAAGCCACCAAAACTAGACCAAACATGTGACATCAAAAGAAATAGATAAAAAGCTTCAATTGCGGAGGCTGAACACAATAAACCCACCCAAAAAGGCTCCTGAAGTTGACCTAGGGCTGTCCTCCAAGTTGATCACCTACATAAACATACATAAAAACGAAGTGAGCAGGGCTCAGTGATTAATAATAATGTAAAGAGGTTCGAGAGGATAGGCATATGTCTTGGAGAATATTTATCTAACGTTTACATGGTCCTTTCGTCATATTCCAAACGGCCTAAGGCCCAATGTAATAAAAAACGGCCTCGGGCCCAACATGATACAAAACGGCCTCGAGCCCAACGTATCAACAGCTGTTCTAGGTTTTATAGGGTAGATGAAACATCAACATGTCTCCATCTCCCTTGCCTTAGAGCCACTATTCATAACAAATCATATCATGGTAGGGTAAGCAGAACATCGACATGTCTCCACCTCCCTCGGCCTTAAGGCCATCATATATAACGAAAACATAACGACCTTAGGTCCATTTCATATGCCATTGCTCATATTTGTATCATTACTCAATCATTTCCATTTATCTAAATTTATTTAACGTATGCCACTTACAAACAAAAATGTATAAATCGTAGCACCATTTATCCCAAATATGCTATTCGCAATCATAATGCATAAACTATAGTATATTTTATCTCGAACGTACTAAGTACAATCAAGGTACATAATTCATAAATAGAAATACGAAAATAAATATATATATCATTACACTATTATTACTCACAGTGGTTTAGACAAGTAGCGGTCTCTTTCTGCAAGTGACCTATACATAACACACACACACAAACGGATAAATAATGTATTCTTTCCTTAGTTTATCTTTTTAATCTTTTGTTCGATTCGTTTACTTCTTATTCACTTCCAAATATTTTAGAGGGATCAGATAAACACATTAACAGTTTAAGAGGGTCAAAAAGAGATAACAAAAGTGGACAGAATTGCTCCCAATTACCGCATGTACAGAAGACCACCACCGCATGTGCAGAGAGGTGTGCTGCACGTGCAGCCCGCACGTGCCTTTATTTCAGAATGCCGGAGTTGTTTCCCCTGTTTCCCGCACATGCGGCTGTGCCTCCCCCACGTGCGGCCATCGGCTCTATTTGAGCAATCCGAAAATCCAACAAATTCAAGCTTCCTAAACTCAATTACAAGGGTCAATTCAAGCAAATTTCATTTCAAAACATACTATATGATCATAGTAAACATAAATCTCAAGCTCAATTAGATCATAACTCATTTATTTCATCTTTTCATAGTTTATACCACATATCTTCATATATATATATATATACATGACCTTTAAGCATGCAAAGATGCAAGACTAAAATCAACAATAAGGCAATTGTGATAGAAAAATTTGTGGACCATAAACTAAAAATCATTAAGGATTCAATTCTATACATGAAAACTATATGAATTTCTACTATACAAAATAAGTAAATACATACCTTGATTTATGATAGTATGAAATCCTTTTGTAAGAAAGAAAAACCTTGAATGGAAGACCTTGATCTTTAAGTTCTTTACTTGTCTAAGATCTTCAAACCACTTCTCTCTCTCTAGGCAATGGGAGCCTTCTTGTGGTGACAACTTGAGTTTTGTGATGGAGAGTGTGGTTTGGGACCTTACACTATTCATACTAATATACTTCCCATTAAAGAATCCATTCATTCAATGAGCTTCATTAAATAGATTAATGTATCTTATGCATTCATGATACATAATGCATCTTCTATATTAATGAATTCATTAGAGAGATTAATGTATCTTACATATTCACAGTAGATACATAATGCATCTCTAAGATTCATTCATAATGAATCTATCACATTCAATGCATTGACATTATCTTCATTAGTCTTCTATACATTATGTATATATAGGTGCATTCATCAATAATTAGTCACCATCTAATTGATGTACATGTATCTTACTTAATGAGATGAATCTAGTATAATCATGCATAAGCCACATTAAGCCATATTTAGGAAAAATTCTTACAATCTCCCAGTTGGCTTGCATGATTATATTACATCACTAGATTATCATAATATGGCCAACGTTCTTTCACTAGAAGATTGCACTATCACCATTAGATTCAGTTCAATGAAATTATTAGCACCAAATCATTGTAGTCAGTGATTTACACATTGATCAAGACTGTACAATGGTTGTGGTGTTAATATTTTTCATCAACATGAATAAGTGAATCTTAAATCATAGAGATGACATTAGCAACATAATGGTGATTAATGCTAATTCATCTATAACGGTCCCGTTGTTTACATCTTCTTCTAAATTGTGCACAAGTATGAAGAATGAAAACAATGAACATAATCATTACTAACAGAAGATGATTATAACATAACATTTATCACGAACATAATACACTCATTTCAAGTCTAAACATGATAAACTTTCTATTAAGCCCATACGCGTAACATGTTCTTGAAAGAGCTTAGGTGTGAGACCTTTAGTTAAAGGATCTACTAACATGAGTGTAGTACCAATATGAGAGATGGAAACAGTCTAATTCAGAACCCTTTCTTTAACAACTAGATACTTGATATTAATGTGCTTTGATCCTCCTGAAGTTTATTATTATTGGAGAACCACATAGCAGCATCATTAGCACAGTAAATCTGTAAGGGTTTCAAAATTGAATCGACAAGTTGTAATCTAGATATGAAATTCTTTAGCCATACTGCATGACATGTGGCTTCATAATATGCTATCAACTCTGCCTCCATAGTGGAAGAGGCTATCAGAGACTGCTTATGACTCTTCCATGAAATAGGTCCATTAGCAAGCATAAAAATGTACCCAGAAAGTGGACTTTAGAGTGTCTTTACATCCAGCATAATCAGTATCTGAATAACCAACCACTTTAAGGCTGTCTGTTCTTTGATAAGTGAGCATGTAATCCTTAGTGCCTTGTAAATATCGCAACACTTTCTTAACTGCTTTCCAATGATCAAGTCCGGGATCGCTCTGGTATCGACCAAGCATACCAACTACAAATGCTATGTCAGGACGTGTACAAACTTGAGCATACATAATGCTCCCAATTGCAGAGGCATAAGGAATTTCTTTCATTTGTTCCCTTTCTAAATTATTTTTGGGACACTAAAATTCACTAAATTTATCACCCTTAACTATAGGGGCAACACTACTTGAACAGTTCTGCATGTTGAACCTTTTAAGAACCTTTTCGATATAGGCTCTTTGGGACAATCCTAAAATACCACGAGACCTATCTCGGTGAATTTCTATCCCAATGACAAAAGAGACTTCACCAAAATCTTTCATTTCAAAATTTCTCATAAGGAATTTCTTTGTCTCATATATCATTCCCAAATTATTACTAACAAGCAATATATCATCAACATACAAAACTATAATGCAGATATTGCTCCCACTGATTTTAAGGTAGACAGATTAATCAACCACATTATCCTTAAAATTAAATTTGGTGAGAACTTCATGAAATTTAAGATACCATTGTCGAGATGCCTGCTTTAAACCATATATGGATTCTTAAGCCCACAAACCATATTTTCCTTGTTGTCATCCTGAAAACCTTCAGGTTGGTCCATGTAGCCCACTCCATGCAAGTCATCATTCAAAAAAGCTGTTTTAACGTCCATTTGATGTAACTCTAAATCATAATGAGCTACTAAGGCCATGACTATTCTCAAGGAATCTTTATTAGAAATAGGAGAATAAGTTTCCTTATAGTCTATCCTTTCTTTTTGAGTGTATCCTTTAGCAACTAATCTGGCCTTGTATCTTTCGACATTGCTTTTAGGATCACGCTTGGTTTTAAAAACCCATTTGCATCCAACAGTTTTGGCTCTCTTAGGCAATTCTACAAGATCCCAGACATTGTTGTCTTTCATGGATTTCAACTCATCTTTCATGGCATTTAACCATTGAGTTGCATTTCCATTTTTCATGGCTTGGACATAAGAAACAAGATCGTTCTCCAAGCCTATATCACACTTATTTAGGTAAACCCCATAGTCATCTGATATGGCTGGTTTATTTTCTCTTTGTGATCTGCGTAAAGGTTGTTTTTGCAACTGGGACAACTCTTTTTCCAATGTGAGAAATCTCTTGTGTACCAATAGGTTCAGGTACTACATTTTGTTAGATAATCGTGGAAGGCATAAAATCA